GCTTCTTATGTTTATTGTTTTCTTATCCAAAACGTAAATTAAAGCAACTTCTAAAGAATTAACGAATTCATTTTCAATCCGAAGTTTTTTATTCCTTCAAATGTTCTTATAGTATTTAATAATAGACGTCCCATTTGTATCTATTAAATAACAAGATTAAAAGCCGCACTCCCTGCAGACTCTTAAGCTGGCTCATGCCTGAATTCTGCAAGTTTTTTTCCATCCTGGCAAGGTAGGAAAATGGTCTCAATGAAAAACAGTTATTGCAGCTTCTAATGTGTTGGATAAAGTGTTTTGATTCAGCAGAGTTCCAGTTGTATTCTTCCTTTGTTATCGCAGATGCTACCTGGTTCATATTTAAACATCAGAGCATTAGAATGCTTGCACTGAATTTAAAACAAAATTTTTAAACTGAATGTTTTTAAATTCTCACTTTTTTTGTTTTTTTTTTTTTTTTTTTAATCGGAATCACCCCAAGCAAGGCAGCAATGCCACTAAAACACGAGGGGTTGCAGAGTGTGAAAGAATTGGAAGCAGAACATTAACGGTGAGCAGAAAAGAAGAAATCAATCAGGAAGACAGTATATAGCGATAGACATTACATTTAAGTTTTTGCAGATTAAAGCTGACTCTAAATCATAGAGCCAGAAGTGAACTCCCCAAGCGAATTCCCTAGCCAGCGCAAGTGGAAATTGATGAGATCTCGCCGACAGTCTTGTGCTGTGCTTAAAGTAAAAAAAAATCTAGGTACCAAAGCGAAAAGCTCATTTGAGAAATTAGCATGAAATTCTTTATATAAAAGCCATAGATAGATAACCTTACAGCAGTGGGGAAAAATGACTGAAGCTGAGACGCCAGATCAAGACCAATAATATTGCAGATTCTTCTTTGGATTTTATCAAGGGCCTCAAGGTAAATATCTGGCGTACCGGACCATATGTGACAGCAATATTCTAAGCATAGACGAACAGTAGACATATATAGCTATATAAGATAGATTCTGGAGAGAAAATGCGGAGAGGAATGTTGTTGTAGATGTCTCGCAATGGACGAATGGTCAGACATGTGTAATATAAGCCTTCTTGTTAGTGTATTTGTCAACATATATATTTGTTTTTGTTTTTGTTTTTTTTTTTGTTTGTTTATTTTTATTGTCGGAGATACATTCTCCCAAGGGACATTTAAATTGGTATATAATGTTGGTTTTACGTAATATATAGGTTAGTGGGGAGGAGTTATTGCGAATAATTTAATTGGTTGTATTGTGTTTTTTCATAATAGATGATTAATTTTATTTTTTTATTAGAATCCTTGGAAGATATGTTAGTAAAGATAAGATTCTTTATGATTTTTTATCCTGTTTGTAGTTAGAATTCATCTGGTTACAATATAGTAGTTTGATATATTTAATGTCCTTTGGGGAAGTACTATATTCTATTTGACGTGTCTTGAGATATATTAAATATCGTCTTATTTGTTTGGGATTTCATTATTAATGAGAGTCGGCTTAATATTTTTTTAGTTCATTGTAGAAAATCTTTTTTTTTTGTAGAGGAATTAATTTGTGCTCGGTTAATTAAATTCTGTATAAGTGATATTTTGTAGTAAACTGGACATTCAGTCTTATAGTTGAGAGTGCAAGAGTTTTTGATGGTTGATTCTTAATGAAAAAATCACAGTAATGAATAACAACACACAACTTTGCATAAATACTTTTATTAATAAACAACATATAGTTTTGTATTACTTGCACACCTGAATATGATCTTGGAAAAAGATCGAAAGTACTTGGGAAATGAAAATTAAAGAATTATAAACAGTTAAAGAACATTTCTCTCATCCTTTAACATCAATACACGGAAGGTTATTTGTGAGTATGAACGGACTTTGTTAAAAATTAGCAGACATAATGTCTAATTTATTCAATCAGATATATATATATATATATATATATATATATATATATATATATACTTGGTTTCTCTTTCTTATTGAGGTGAACATTTTTTAAATCTGCATCTCTCTTTTACAATTTTTCTTTATGCCCACGCTTTCTCTCTTTCTCTCTTTCTCAACAATGCACGCGATTTATCTTGCTTTTTTCTCGATGCTCCTTTTTCTTTCCTAATAACCTTTAACTTACTTTTCCTTTTTATTACTATTCCTCTCATTGATTTCATGCTATTTAAGCCACCACGCAATAAAGATCGGGCTTTGCATTTCTAAACAAACAACAAACTAATTGCAAAAACCGCTGCCGGCCAATCGTAAACTAAAGCAATTGTATGAGACTTTACACAACTACCGCCATTTTGGTACGACGGCCTTGATGTCATTCTTTATCAATATGGACATGGTGATATGTTCGTTTGTTTACATTTTCGCCTTCCTTCTAAATTATTTTTTATCTGCTCTCTTCAATATCAAATATTGAAAAAATATAGCACTATTGTTTTTGTGTATTCTTGCTGAGCTGTCATCGTGTGCGGATATGTAAACATATGCTAAATGGTCATATATATATATATATGTTTGTGTGTGTGTGTGTTGTTTGTGTGCTTGTGTCTGTGTGTGCCTATGTCTGTGTGTACCTTTTTATGTGTGCTTGCGTAAAGTTGAATGTGAATACGATGAAATGGTATAAACATGGAAAAAATAAACAAAAATAAATTAAAATAAACAAAAATAAAAAGAGATGGAATTAGTAAAAATCTAATTTCTGCAACGATACAGTTGAAGTAAAACTCGAGCCGTCAGCTACTTAACGTGAATGACTTTTTGTCTTGCTAATGTCGATTTTCTTCTTGTGAAATAACATTCCTTTTCTAATGACACCACTTTGTTGTTCGAAATATGTCAAAGTAGAAATTATATATATATATATATATATATATATATATATATATATATATATATATAATAGGTGGGCACTCGTATTCGAGGATAGCTGTCTATTAGGGCGGCTAGCCAATCCCTATTCTAGACGCTTGCTCAGGCACATTTGTGTTTGTTTAACACCCACGGAGCCAACCTGTGATTTATACTACAACTATGCTGAGCCGATCTTAATTACAGCCTGTGATAGAGAGCGTGTTATCTACAATGGTTAACAATCTGAACAAGGTCAGCACACTAAAACACTCAGTCACGATTACTTGTGACTTCATGCTAGCAAAGCTATCGACAGTCCCCAGGGTTCCGTCTACACAATTTCACTCACATGCTTGGGTCAACGCGTGGTATGGTTTTCAGATACTTTCCAAAGGTGCCACACGATATATATATATATATATATATATATATATATATATATATATATATATATATATATATATATATATATATATATATACATGGGGAGGACATTAGTCTTAAAGCCATAGGATTTGCTAGCTTTATACTTATTCTGGTTGTTATTTAAACAGAAGTGGGCTCTCCACCTCATGTTTATAATAAAGGTTTCTATTTTCCTCAATAAACAAAATTCATACGAATGTCGGTTCGGTACGAGTATGATTTTAAACGAATATCCTATGTCTACACGTTCCATGAGAGTTAATTTTATAAAGTGTTCAATGGACTGATCTAGAGCTAAATTAATAGTACTAATCTTATAAATATAAGGGTTTTTTTTTCTTTGGACTCTGAACTTGGATGCTAGACGATTGTTTTCGGCAAACGTACATGTTCTCTGTTCTTTCTTTTTTTGTAACTTGGGTATTGGTCTATTTATTTACATATCAAAGTACCCGGGGTTTTCCGGACGAGTATAATTTCTTATATTTATAAGATTACTACTATTATATATATATATAGCAATAGGCCCTGCCTGGCGTAATGGTTAGCAATGTTTCGACTGTTTTTCTCATTGGTCCTTCCAGACTTTTGACATTGTGTCGCATTTAAGCTACGCTTAGAAAATTATTCGCACCCTTCAACTTGGTGTAACGAATAGCACGCTTATATCGCTAGATCAATCACGATTAAGTAGTGTGTTCGATTCTCACTGGTTGCTCCACGCTTTCGTCCTTGTACCACATCTAAGCTACGCTTATCAGATCGTTATATAAATATGGTGTAATATATATATATATATATATATATATATATATATATATATATATATATATATATATAACGCGAGACAGTGAAAGGGAAAGAGGCTCTCGTGAAGATGACTGCTATGGCATTGCGATTAAGCTGTTTTATTGTATTTTCTTGCATATGTAAGAAATGACGTCTTTTTCGGGCATAGAATGTGTAATGTAATGTGTAGGATATTCAAATGATCTGAGGATCCGTTCGCTTTGAGCTAATCAGTTATCAAAGATGTTGTTTGTTTCTTGAGTACAGTGGGGAAAATAATTATTTCATCTCCTGCCTATTTTCTGAGTTTGACACCTTACAAAAATAGGAACGGCCTATAATTTTCAGGGTAGGCCCGTCTTGAATTTGAGAGATAGAATATAAAAATATATCTATAAAATCATTTTATGTTAATTTTTGAACATTTATTTCTTTTTTATAGACTGTTCCCATTTTTGTAAGGTGGCAAACTCAGAAAATCAGCAGGGGATGAAGTAATTATTTTCCCCACTGTGTGATGATTTTTTATAGCAATAAGAATTAATGTTTTATCCTTGAAGATGGCTAATAGCCTAGCCTAAAGAAGTGGGATAAACACACCATTTCGGCGGTTTTTTCATATTCTATGTCCCCTAAAAAGAAATCACTTAAAGAATGCAAGATAAAAAAAAGTTTAACCGCAGTGCCTTGACAGTAGTCTTCAGTCAAACCTGTATAAATGAGGGGTTGCTACCGAAAATGATATCAATACGTTCTGATTATTTGTTATTGACTTTACATCGTTTGTCCTATATTAGGATAGAAAAATGCCTTTCAGAAACTGAGAAGGATATTTAAGGGACATAAAATATTTGAAGAAATGTCAGTGCTATGCTCTGCTATGTAATATTTAATCTCGTAAATGGAGCTGAATGTTAGACAGTCTCTTCACAAAAGAAAAAGAAGGAGTAGCAGATAAAGAAGAAAAAGGTGGCTGGAGCGAGAGAGGAGGGGAAAGAAAAACTTGTGACATTAGTAAGAAGAAGAAGAAGAAGAAAAAAAACATGATGAAGAATTGAATGTGCAACACGAACGAGATTTAAAAGGAAGGGAAGAATAAAAGAGCAGTGAGAAAAAGGGTATGGTGAAGAAGAAGAAGAAGAAGAAGAATAAGAAGGAGGAGGAGGAGGTGAGGAGAAGAAGAAGTAGAAGGTGGTTAAGGCGAGAGAGGAAAGAGAAAGAATACTTTTTACGTCCGTATGGCAAATATGAATATGAAGAAGACAAAAAGAAAAAAGGTGAAGAATTGAATGAGAAACATGAACAAGATTTAAAAGGATGGAAAAGAAAGAAACAGTAAGAAAAAGTGTATCGCAAAAAAGAAGAAAGACGAAGAAGAGGTTAAGATGAGAGAGATGTGGTTCTTCTAACAAATAGTCACAATTCAATGAAGAGATGTTGTGAGAAACGAAAAGTTTTAAGGAGTAATTGACGCAAATAACCAGAAACAAACAGCGGAAAATATTAGGACACATAAAGAGGAAAGAAGGTTTGCAGAATTTAATACCCACTTGGCATACTGAAAACAAGAAAATGAAGAGGGAAAAGTGAGTAACCTACTTTATGCGTGTCAGTAATTAGATGGAAGAACAAAGTCCACAAAGACAAAAATTGTTGTTGAAATAGATAGTTATCGATCGCAACAAAATAACCATGGTCACTCACGTCCTGAAAGGCCAAGGTACAAAGAGAGAGAGAGGGAATAGATAGTGAGATAGGGAGGCAGAAAGATGCGGGATCAGCTTATCTCTAATTCTGTGCAATGTCAGTATCTTTCCAAGTGTTCTTTAAAATGTAGAACTTATTGTTTCTGTTAATTATTTCTTACCAAAAATCTTCGTGTCGTATGCTAATAAAAGGCTCACGTCCAGAAAATGGTTAACAACCATTTCCTTCCTTAAAAAAGATATTAACAATTGGGAAATACATTTATTAACCAATAAATGCCTATGGATACCACGTCTGTTTCTTATTTTAGTAGTAGTTCTCAATTATTGAGGGTCCAGTTTCCACCGAGTATAACTTTGCACTATCCGCCCCAGGGACTGAACTCACAATTAAATTGTCAAGAAATAGAAGAGCCAACTAGGCTATTGTCCTGTGTATTATATAATAGAGACTTTTGTGTGATTACATGAAGTATCTCTATAAATAAAGCGCAGTGCACGATTGTCCGTCCGTCCGTCCGTTTTTCGATCTCGGCTAAACATAAACAACCTGAAGTAACAGGTAACTACTTTAGTTACACGTGATTAAAATTTAAATAAATAACTCATTTAAAGTTAAATTTAAATATCGAACATAGTGAAAGGTTTAAACTGTAATGGACATCGTCTAATTTAACAATAATTAAAACTTAAATGGGGAAAGGTACGTTGTTCATATGATTTTTTTTCTAGCACGTTTACTGTGAAGTGTGTGAAATATTAGATAGTTCGGCTGCCCTAATGTCTTTCAAGCATTATTTTATGTGAACGAATCATAAAGAATGGTGATTTAAAAGAAAAGAAAATTCGCGCACAAAATAAATGTAAACAAATTACGTATACGAAGAATGATTATGCCGAATTAAGGTGTCGAATAAAGATAAAATAATTTTATTATTTTTAAATTCTTATAACGTTTACGTACAAAGGACGCAAAATGTAAATGACGGCTTCTAGGCTAGGTATGAATATATAATAAACATTTTTTGTATCTGCAAGAGCGTAATAAAAGGTATATATTGCGTCATAAAATAAAACCAGTCTCATATCTAACCGTAAATTTCGTCATACAAATCCAACGTTTTGCAACTGATAAGCAGGGGATTATTTCATGTATGTTTTAGTGTCCGGGTGAGTCACATCGATTTTGGCTTTATTAATTGTCTGTCATCAGTTCTCTCTCTCTAACCATATTCTTGTATCCGGAATGTCAAGTTTCTCGCGTATTTACAAAACAGTCGTATCGTTGACAGATAAATATTCTAAAAAAGACGTGAAACAACTTCATTATTAGTGATTCTTATGTTCCCTCTTTATCTCTGTAAAAGATGCTTTAATTTTTCACTACAGAGAAGGGAGAATCAATTTTCCATTAGCATTAAACAAGCCGTGTATAAGCTGCTTAATAAAATAACGGAAAATACAACAGTTATCTTTGAGAACTTAATGATTCAATATGGAACTTTTCGAAGAATGGAGAAAACTACGATGGATTAATATTCGGGAAATATTTGCCTAGAATCATGAATTTGCTTCTACTATTATTCATTGGGTCTTTTTTTCGTTTTTGCTGCTTTCATGGCAAATTTCCGAGGAATATACATTTTAGCTCACCATATGCTTTTACTATTATACATTTTTCGTATCAGCCTTGCCATTCATGTTCTTTTCGCCAATTTTCATATATAATAATTAGACAAAAGCAGACTTGAACATATGAACCCTGATTAAATAATTATAACACTCCTAACATTTATAGGTACAAAAATACTCGTAAAAAATTAGAAACAGCAGGACGTAGAAAAAACAAAAAACATTATTATCTATTATCTGGTATGCAGCATATATATATATATATATATATATATATATATATATATATATATAAACACACACACACATATATATATATATATATATATATATATATATATATATATGTGTGTGTGTGTGTGTATATATATATATATATATATATATATATATATATATATATATATAATGAATGACAGAATCAACAGGTGGAGTAAAAATTCACTGTTCGTAACATTTACTTTTTTAAAAAGAGAGCAATATATTATTATTTTTATAATAAGAGATTATAATCTCTTATAATAAAAGTAATATATGTGTGTGCTTATGTGTGTGGGGGGAGCAGCACACTTTTTTAAAACATCTTTCGTTATATGACGTACAAGGAAATTTGTATTCAATTTTTATTAATTTTTTCCAGCGGTCTTACATTTCTTGTTTTTTTGTTGTTGTTGTTTGTTTGGTGGGACTGAATGATTACAAAAACTTACCATATTTTCCATTGTCCCAAGCGCATTCGGCTACTTCGCTAGCCACTTTAAAATGGGTTCTATTTAGGTAGGGTTTTTTTTGTTGTTTTTTTTTTTTTTTTTTTTGTCTTTTCATGTTTTGACTGTGTAGGATGTATTATTTATATGTATGTGTGTGTGTTTTTAATTACAGCGTTCATTCTGTCGTATGTTAGGAGTGTCTGCAATTCGAGTGGATGACTTTCTATTTTTAAAAGTCTTTCAGCACGCCGATCCCATTGTTAAATAAGCTGAGATTGACGGTCTGGGAGAGAGATGTTTAATGTATAGAGTCTCTCTTATAACGAGATGTTTTCGGTAATTTGAATGTTTTCAACCAGTATTTTTCTTAAGGATTAATGTAAGTTTTGGATAGATAGATGATCTTCAAATTTAAGAGAGTGCGTTTTTTTTTTTACTAATATGCCAATTTGAGAATTTTTTGTTGTAAGATTTTATCAGTCAATTTCCTTAAATTTTCAATAAGAATCAACCTTAGCGTTGCGACTGCACGCCCCAAAAGTTTGTATCGGTTATCGATAACACATTTCAAAAAACATTTCGATTCGCATTTAAGTTTTTCATCTCAGCTCCTACCTGAATTTTACAAAAAAACAAAATAATTTCCATGCCTGAAGATGACCGAATATACAGTCCAAAATACTTGCGTATTTTAGAAAGACTTTATACAGCTTATAATTTTAAAAAAAAACAAAAAAAAACGAGGATCATAGCAGTCACCGATTGATTGGTAAGTTATGCACCTGTAAAATTTTGTTAGCGAAGGGATTTCGGCATTTTATATCATTAACTTTACTAATGTACTTTTTTGTATGAATGAATCATTTTATATATGAATGAATATATATATATATATATATATATATATATATATATATATATCGATTCTCACGTCGGGTTCGACGTATGAGGGTCAAGCAGATCAGTTTCCAGGAAACTGACAACCCGACACCGGCACATGAGATTCGATTATAGTGGTGAAGGTTTCGAGCAGGAACATCCACACTTTTTGAAAGGCCGAATACAGAGACCTGGTGCACTACGTGCCACAAGGTCCCCAAACACCCCACCTCAGGTTTTGAATTCAGAGTTGTCCTTTTCCTAGATCAGTTGCCATCCGAGGCTATAGAACCCATTCTGCCCTGCTATTTAACCCATAGATGGAGGGAGAAGAAGAGGATTCACACCTTTCCCAAGGGTATTAGCACGTAAGTGAATGTAATGGGTTCAACCTGGATTCGAACTCGGCTCTGCGATTCCACAATCCAAGCCGATATCCATTATATATATATATATATATATATATATATATATATATATATATATATATATATATATATATATATATATATATATATATATATATATATAAATGGATAAAGAAAAGATAGATATATTTTTAAGATAAGTAAATGGTGTATAAGTAAATCATAATAAAGAAAAGAGAAAAAAACAAGAAAATGACCCAAACAGGCTAAAATATAGGGAGAGTGGGTGTTTAGACGAATGTGAACGTAAATGGAGGAATGCTCATCAATATAAGTCGAGACAAATTATATTTATACTTGTATAACCTCAAATCCCCGACGGTATAAATATCACCAAACTTTGTCTATGATTCTCAACTATCTGACTATACAACTGACTGCCGATCTATCAATCGCGAAATGTTTCTGTAATTTCCAATGAAAGGATTTTCAGGTCAGTAACCTTTCCTGACACATCGATGCAAAACAAGTTTACTTTGAAAGAAAAGAGCACCGGGAATTTGCGAGTAGCGTCTTATTTCTTCTCGTGATCAACACTGGAATCCTCTCGGGGGTAAACCTTATCTTAAACAGGGTCGCTTTCATCTAATCAAAGCGGAAAGGATAAGCAGATGGCAAAATAAGTTCTTTTCAAGCGTCTTTTAGAGAAGGTATTTCCAGAAAAGACGTTGTCCACACCATCTGCTCAAATTGACAACAAATAACATCTCATTTTAGACGATTTGCACTGCGATTTCGACAGGAGATACAAAGCGGCATGAACTTCATCTTTCTTCATCTTTTTCGAATAAAGGCTAAATTTCCACAGTATTTCGCAGGTTAAACTTTCTTCAGAAATGACCATTACATTTTGTGGACGAGGTTGGTTTAGTTTGGTCGATGCAGGTGTCAGATAAAACTAGACGAAAAATTAAGATATGAATACTGACTCGGATTAGGGAATCGGAGAGCCGAGTTCGAATTCCAGTCAATCCATTACATTCACTTATGTGCTAATACCCGTGGGAAAGGTATAAATCCTCTTCTTCACCTCCACAGATATGGGTAAATAACAGGACAGACCGGGTACTATAGCCTTGAATGGCAACTGGTCTTCACTTCACTACCTCAGAAAGAAACCTGCTGCGGGAAAAAAAATCTGCCTCGTCAGTCATGTATCGAAAGATTCATGATTGCCTAAGCGTGTATCACGCATGGCACATAACTGACTGATAGTTAAATAGTGAACTAAGTTTGGTCAAGTTGCCAAAACATTTGTTTTTAGACCACAAGAAGCTGGTTCGAATCCCGTCATGACCAGTTTGACAGGAAATTATATTCTTGATGTATATTTTACTTTAACGTTACACAAAACAGCAATTTTTATTAACAAATAACTTGCCTACAAAACACCAGATAATTATGTACCAACCCAATCTATGATAGAAATGTAGTTTAAGGTATGCTATATTTATGGGCAAAATTTCTCAGACACTCCCTACTAGGGGTTGACCTCAGTGTCAACTTTTATATTTACGTATGCTCTATCCGTGATATTGAGAACTTTTACCGATAAATATATACAGACCTTAAGATTGCGTTCAAGCATGAAACAGACTGTCGCCGTACAGTGTTGACACACACACGCATATATATATATATATATATATATATATATATATATATATATATATATATATATATTAAGACGTGTCTCGTTAAATAATTTAGACAAGTTTTGTCTGTTTCATTTTTGATAGGATCTTCTCATAGTTGCGGACAAGTTTCTTAGTACCTTTATTAAAGGAAGAAAATAATTAATATGTTGATACATATTCATTTATTCCGAGTACTTTCGACATTAGCACAATTTTGTCATCAGGGTTTTGTTTTTTCCTAAGACAAAAAATTGTTGTGTTCATCATTTTTATAAGACAAAATTGTTCTGTTTATTTGAAAATTATTTTGTTTTTTATTTGTGAAGTGAAAAACACTAAGGTTATGTACTGTACAATTTTTAAAATCAATATGCATCAACATGTAAATTTTCATTCTTTTTTAATTTTATTTCCTCTTTTAATAAGGATAGTAAGAAACTTGTTCGTAATTACGAGGGGATCCTATTAAAAATCAGTATACAAAACGTGAATATATATATATATATATATATATATATATATATATATATATATATATATTCGACTCTCCCTTCGTATTCGACGTATGATGGTGAAGCAGCTCAGTTCCTAGGAACCGACAGAGAGATACCAGCACATGTGATTTGATTATAGGGGATAAGGTTTTGTTCAGAACCATCCACACTTTTTGAAGGTCCGAATAAAGAGACCTGGTGCACTTCGTTCCACAAGGTCCCCTATCAATCCTCCGCAGGTTCTGAATTCAGAGTTGTCCTTCTCCTAGACCAGTTGCCATCCAATGCTATAGAACCTATTTACCCACATCTGGCGGGAGAAGAGAATTCATACCTTTCCCAAAAGGCATTAGCACGTAAGTGAACGTAATGCATTTGACTGGAATTCGAACTCGGCTCTCCGATTCCTCAATTCAAACCGCTATCCATTACTTCACCGCACCTCCTATATATGGATGGAGAGGGAGAGGGAGAGAGAGGGAGAGAGAGATGGAGTGAAAGAATACATTTTTAAGATAAATAAATGATGAATAAGTCAATGATATTAAAAGAGAGAAAAACAAGTAAAATGAGATAAACAGATTAAAATATACCGAATGAGAAAATGGAAAGAAAAATGCACTTATAATTAACATCGAGAAGAGACAGCTGATGTATCTAGGACACATAATTAGGATAGAAGGCATGGAAAATTTGATACTCACAGGGTAGACTGAAAGCAAGAGCGACAGAGGAAAACAACGCGAACTTCTATAAATAGTGATTTTCCAAGCGTAGCTCAGATGTAGCACAAGGCCGAAAGTATTGACTACCCAGTGAGGATCGAACTCACTACTCAGTCGCAATAGTTCTGAGCGAGACAAGCTTGTTAAGCATTACACCAGCTAGGTTCTATAAATGGGTGCAGAACAGACGTTAGTAGAATTAAGAAAAAGACAAAATTTACTAAGAACTACAAATGACAGGAAATTGTGGAGAGTCAGGATCGCCAACGTCCTGAAAGGACACGGAACATAGATGAAATTTTCTTCAAGTTATTTGATTAGTTCGTGTCTTTCACACATTCACGTCATTGCTATCGTTATAATATTCATTATAAACATTCGTTTTAAGTTATTCTTAAGCTCATACTCGTTAAATTTCTATATTTCGTTAACGCTTTAGAACCAATCGTCATAGGCCTTGTAAATTCATTACTAATATTTGCATATGCTAGCCTCCAGAAGAGCAACTTATTGCGTCTTCTTCGTCTTATGTTTTCTACCGAAAAGAATTCGAGTGATTATATTGAATGAATTGCTAGGTCTGCTGATAGAAGAGTTAGTTTCTAGTGTCTTACCAGACAATTTTTATCTTGTACGTTTATAAAACTACCATTCGACCGTCCATTGAATATTGCTGCCATATTTGGTCTGGTTTTTCGGCTATAGATTTCCATAGCGGTTTTTATAGAATTAATATTTTATCTTACGGACGGCTTAAAATCATAGAAAGTCAAAGGAAATAGCTTGATAGATATATAATGATGCTACAAACTTGTGTGAATAAAAGGTTTTGAAAAGAAAGGTTTTCTGATTTTTGGTAACATAAGATATAAAGAGAGGGAGTAGATAATGGATTGTGAAAGAGTCAAAATTGAGAGAGAGCGGAAAATAAAATGGTGGAAAAACTGGTTTACTTTATTTAGCTTCGTCTGACACAAGGCCATGATTGTGGAGCGTCTGATGCGAGATAAACTAGTCAAGCATCGCTTGAAGTTCGCGTCATGGCTTAACAAACTCTGAGTTATATTCTTGTAAAATCGGCAATTATCTATGTCATATATATCAAGCAAGATTATTTGTCTCGGCTTCAGCTGCACGAATCCCTATAAGATTCATTATATATATATATATATATATATATATATATATATATATATATATATTGGAAATGTGACGTACGGAGCGTGAGCTCTAGTAATTAAAACGTCTTATCTCCAGGGAAAATGTCTTATGTCTTGAGGGCAGATTATGACGTGTAATCTGTAGGAGGGTAAGGGGAAAAAAAGCGAAGTTTAGATGCCTCGTTTCTTCTACTTCTCCAGAAAAAAAGTAAGTATTTTAGCAATTTACTTTGTGATATAGAAAGGATGAGGCGATGTTTTGAAATGAATTCTCCGGATAACCTGTAAGAAGTAAAAGAAAGATATATAAGCCACTTTGCAAAAGAAAAGTAAAAAGAAAAAGAGAGCGTGTGACATTTGTAATGAAAAAAAAGACATGATTGTTAGAAAGGTTACCAGGCCTCAAGAGCTGAGGATACCTCACAGATTCTGAAACAGTAATCAACTTACTGTGAAATAAACCAATTGGCTTTAAACACAAATTCAAGGCAATATGTGTTAAACTAAGAAAAGCCTTCGTTATGCACGTGTGAACGGTGTAATGACAATCTGGCTGAAAAATAAAATTTAAGTCTCTGTTTAGTCTGTTGAGCACGCTTCGTCGTAATTTTAAAATTAACTGATTCTTTACAATAAACATTTTACCGCTACTGTCGTTTGAAATTTACTTAAAACAGGTTTTCAGGAAAATGAACTCCTAAAATTAACTATTCAGGAAATTTGACTTCTCATGCCTTCTTAGTGTTATCGTTCTCGTGGGAGTTTTCTTCCTAACTGTTTGTCTAAGGTAGTGTGGAAATTCAACACTTTTGTTATGTCATTATTTTATCTTCTACTTAACATTTTCTGTCCACTGTTGTAAGTGTTCAAGTGGTTTTTTTTTTCTTATTTGATAAAGGGCTTTGTGATTCTCTAGTGAAATAAGCTGTCACTAGAGAACTAAAAAAGCCCTTCAACAAATAAGAAAAAAAAGATTTATGAGAAAGTTTCTTCTTTAAGAATTAAATGATTCATTTACTTGAATCTATTTTTAATCATTGATCTAAAAAAACTATAGTATAGGTTAAACATTATACTTTTATTTCCCGCGAGAGATCTGCAATATTATAGGTCCAGACTTGGCATCTCGGCTTCTTCAAGCTATTTGATTTTGAGTTTTCTATAAATATTTTTCCTGTAATTGTTCTAATGAGCTTTCCTCTATGGTACCTTGACTTCACAAATTTAAGTGAAGTAGAAAATTGGTAGTTAAGTCTGATAATTTCACTGTTGAAACTGTGAGATGTATTCATTCCTCGCTCATAGTTTCTGTTATGGGACCTTACCCATAATAACATAATGGACTATTCCATACGTAATAAATACTGCGCCTCAAGAGGAAGCAAGGAGTTCAGTCTGAAGTCGGGCGACTGGCTGATCGGTTGAACTATCTGCCTTCGGGCGGGAGGAACCTGAACGAGGCTACGCCGAAGGGCGGAGACTTTTTCGGGGAGGTAAACCGACCCTGAACCCGTTTATACGGGTTCAAAGGACATATTTTTGTTATGTCATTATTTTATCTTCTACTTAACATTTTCTATCCACTGTTGTAAGTGTTCAAGTGGCTTGTTTTTTCTTATTTGATAAAGGGCATTGTGATTCTCTAGTGAAATAAGCTGTCACTAGAGAACTAAAAAAGCCCTTCAACACATAAGAAAAAAAAAGATTTATGAGAAAGTTTCTTCTTTAAGAATTAAATGATTCATTTAGCTCGGAGATCCCACGTTAAATCGGCCTTGTGCCACATGATGTCCTCGTGTGGGGGTGACTAAATACTAAATACACTCTCAAGCCCTCGGAACGATGACTTGTGACTTTGTTCTAGCACAGCTATCGACAGCACTCAAGAGTTCCGCCTACCCAATTTCACTCACAAGACTTGGGTCAATCCATGGAATGGTTTTCAGGCGCTTTCCAAATGCTTGCATGTTTCTATCGACCACGATCCATTCCGATAATATCAGGAAGTCTCCTTCCTGACAAATAGACCATGTTGAGATCCGAATTCGAACCCGAGTCTCATGGTCAGAAATATATGTTATGGGACCTTACTCATAATAACATAATGGACTATTCCATACGTAATAAATACTGCGCCTCAAGAGGAAGCGAGAGTTCCGTCTGAAGTCTGGAGTGAAGTCCGTCAGAAGTCTGTCAGTCAGAGCGAGCGAGTCAGTCAGTCGAGTCAGAGGCAGTCCGAAACAGAGTCACGTTCAGACAATTACTACTAAACCTGATTGTTCGTACTAACACTTTTCTACCTCTCTGTATATACTCCTGTATATAATATATTTGTGTTATTCCATATTTACCTTCGAGTTCTTTATTGCTTCTACCTAAGGAACCGGACCATAACAATATATATATATATATATATATATATATATATATATATATATATCGGTGGGTACTGAAATGTATTAAACTTGAAAATGAAACTCTTTTTACAAAAAATATTGTTTGGTCATTTGATCCTCTGTGGGGAATCATTCCGGCCGATACTTTTTCACCATCTCCAATATCAAGAGTGAGAGAGTCTTTTGTATTTACGCATACATATATAACTTTTTGGCTTCGATTTATTCGTGATAATACTACGACTACTATTCATATTTATCATCCGATTGTTCGTTTATGAGGCGTTTTTATTATTGATTTCCAAAGATTTCAATAATGCTTCCCATATACAGTCGTCCAGCAGTCTGGCTCCAAGAACTTGCATAGTCGCTACATCACTCTTCTTCGAAGAAACAGTGCGAAAATCACTTACTCGGATATTCAGCCCGAGACATCAGTACTAGGAACCGGACCATTACAGTTTCTTATATCGTAATTCTCGCCTGTGAAACTTGCTTATTGTTCCTTTCAACAGCGTGGATTAAGGCCATATCACGTTCAAACACCGATTCTCCTACGATCACCGAAGTTAAGCAAAGCTGAGCCATGTTAGAACCTAAATGGGTGACCGTCTGGGAATACCAGGTGCTGTAAACTTTGATTGGCAGGTAATGTAATAGATAACGGCTCAGAATTGGAAATCGGTGAGCTGAGTTCTAATTGCAGTCCAGTTCATTATATTCACTTCCACGCAAATGTCATTGGCAAAGATATGAATGCCCCACGCCTCTCCCTCCTTCTGTGGATTAATGAGTAGGACTTGTATCATTATTGTCTCAAAAAGAAATCTCTTATAACCTGAAGATACCTTCTGGCTTTAAATAACCTGTAAGGGGTAAAAGGCAAAACCGTAAAAATAAACTAATCCTCTCAATCACCATCTCGGAAAATTTAAATACAACACCATTCGTCTCCTTAAATCATGTTCTTTCATTGCCCTCTCTGTTTCTTTCACTAGTAGTAACCTTTTGTGTCATAGTGACTTTGTCGCCTTGCTTGGAGTGAAATCATTAAAAATAATTTCTGAACGAGTTGGATGACAAGCATAATATCTATATGAGAGTCTAGATAGGAAGAAATTATTTAAAAGCATAAGTTGGGCTTCCTAGATAATATTTCAATTCTGAAGCATCTTAAGGTGGTGGTGGATAATATACCCATAGTACAAGTTATCCATTGTTCAATTTCAGTCTTAGAGGTGTCACCATTTTCTCTTTGTTTTTTTCATGGATATTTGTCCCTTTGTAAGTTCTTTCATCAATTCGTATCTTTCATACACGTATGTCACAGTCGGTAATAAATACTCATTGTAAAAACTTACGACGCAATGTGATTTCGACAGGAGCGAGAAAAAAGAACAACCTTCAACTTTGACTAACTTTTTCGAATATGGGATAAATTTCTCCAAGTTTAACAGGAAGTTATATTTCTTCAGACACAGCTCTTAGTTCTTGCGTACTATTTTACTTTGGTCTAGGCATGTGTTACAATTTAGATTAAAAAGAAATCTTAACAAAAATGTAAGAAAGATTTTTCATGTGTGCGTGTTTTATTATTTACGTCACTTGTTCTAGTTTAAGCCATATGATACCAGTAGAACCCTTTATCTCATCTCCTCGTCCGATCTTATCTACTGGCCGACAATCAACTAACCTTCATTTATAAATCTATAATCTTTTCTCTTTCCTATATATTCCGTTCATCTCTTTACATTTTAACCTCGTCTATGATATCTGTGATTTGTTTCTCCATCCATCCTCTTTCTATATCCACGAGTTATGTCTTGTATTCCATGGATATTTGTTCCACAGAAAGTTTATTTTCAAGATATTTGACTAATAAGTATCTTTCATGTTCATACGTCATTGCAAGCATCTATTCGATGTCGTGTTTGTGCATATGTAGCAACGTTTGGTGCCTCTTGCAGTAGGTTTTATAATAATACATTGGTGATCATTCATATTACATTTTGATTCACCAACGGGAGGCACAGTCTTTTCCACACTCATACAATACACACACACACACACACACACATATATATATATATATATATATATATATATATATATATATATATATCCAGGTAAAATTAGAACAATTAGTGCATGATTTCACTATACGCAACATTTAGTTTAAAAGAGGACTCAATACATAGTAGAGCTTAATATTATTTATTTTAGAATATTAAAAATCATTACACAAATACAATTATGTTTCGACACCATAAATGTGTCTCTTCAGGCGATGCTGAATTACTGGCCAGTAGTTTACCATCGGCTGAAGAGACATGTATATGGTGTCGAAACATAATTGTAACTTTGTATTTGTAACATGTTTAATATCCTAAAATAAATAATACATATATATATATATATATATATATATATATATATATATATATATATATATATATATGTGTGTGTGTGTGTGTGTGTGTGTGTGTGTGTGTGTGTGTGTGTGTGTGTTTTTTGAATCTGAGGACAAGTGGAAAAACCTTATAAACGACGCGTATCGGCTTCTTCAGCGCGGATTGAAAGACAAATATGTGTGTAAGGAAAATACGTTTAAGCAAACAAATAAAACAAAAAAAAAAAAACAAGCACTTTTTGTTTCCTGGTCGTCGGATCTGATTTAAATTTAAATTATTGATCCTCTTATCCTCAAAAATCACAACGCATTTTCCTTGTACGCAGTTTTGTGTTTCGTTCCGACTTGAAAGGGCCGAACCTAGAACAGGTGTCGTTAGCGAAACACGTCGTTTAAAAGCTTTTTCACCATCCTCACAATCTCCTCTTTTCTTTCTTTCTTTTTCTGATACTATTATACAGCCTAGAAACAAATACACAAAATCCAAATCCAGGTCTCACACACGCGTGTTAGAGGAATCTTTCCCTGTTAGGCCACACACACACACACACACACACACACACACATATATATATATATATAAAGAAATATAGTCTTAAGGTGTGCTATATTTAAGGAATAAAGTGCTCAATATCAGAAATAGAGCGTGTGTAAATATAAAAGTGAACATAGAAGTCAACACTTAGAGGCGACAGTCTGTTTCATGCTATATGCAATTGTCAGGCCACATATGCTGTTATTTTTCTCGGCTATTTATATATATGCGGGTTAGTGGTGTATTGTGGGTATTCTATTATGGCGGTTATTTTACCGGAAGTCGTTTGTTTATTTATTTGGGTCAAATTATATTGCTTGTTTGTATTTTTATTTTTTTGTTTCTTATTTTATTTATTTATTAACGTAGTAAAAATTTGTTTATATCACTTATTTAACAGTTTTGTTTTGGTTTGAGAATTTAATTAAAGCTATTTGTTCAATTTTTTGGGTTGATTGTTGTAGTTTATTCAAACTATTATTTTGGCGGGAACAGTTTTTAATTGATTATCTTTATTTGGGATTGTTTTGTTTATTTATTTACTTGGATGGATTTAGGTCAATTTATTTTACTTGTATATTTTCTCTTTTCGGTTTTCGATTTTTAAGTAACATAGTATTTATTTATTTTTTATTTTTATTTCTATTTTTTATTGTTATTTTGTTTATTAGTATATCTATTTGTTTTTATTTTATTTTTCCTGTTTTTCATATTTTTAGGTTACATAGTAAAAATTTATTTTCATGTCTGCATTTTGAGATGAGCTCGGATTTTTTATTGAATAATTTATTTTGGTCGCGGAAAGTAATGATAGCTATTTTTCCGGTAAAATAACCGCCATAATAGAATACCCACAATGCACCACTAACCCGCATATCTATAAATAGCCGAGAAAAATAACAGCATATGTGGCCTGACGATTGCATATAGCATGAAACAGACTGTCGCCTCTAAGTGTTGACTTCTAAGTTCACTTTTATATATATATATATATATATATATATATATATATATATATATATACCGGTGTAACAGCGAAATTGTCCGAATCCTGTAACCGCAAAAAATGTCCAATTTTTAGATTAAGATCTGAACCGTTGTAACTTAGAAATATAAAAGATATCTTACTGGAATTCTCTGAGGTTTATAAAACACTATTGGACTCTACTTTGAGCAATAAGAATGTAATAATTACTCTCCAAGCTTAACACAAAAATCGTATCCTATACGAAACCGTCATACAGCCTGACGTGCCTTTACCGATTGAGCCACAGAGGAGCGTTTCGGTTAGCAAAGTCGATTTCACTGTTTTTAAACCACAATTCTCCATGATTTTCTCTCATACCTTCCTATCTGCTCGATGCGTATCCAGATGTAAACTCTCTTAATTAAACGACTCAATTTCTGTAATTGTGAAAGATAGCAAAAGATCATTCAGTTACCGGAAGTGAAAGACTTTAAAAGAACAGGTTTCAAGAAGGCAGAAAATAGTGATTTGCGTTGCATTTAAGCTTGTGAAAATTATAGCTGGCAGGTGTAACAGCAAAATTGTTCACTTTTTAGATTAAGCTTTGAACCGTTGTATCTTAGAAATGATTAAAGATATCTTACTGGAATTCCCAGAGATTTTTATGGCCCTATTGAACACTACTTTGAGCAATAAAAATGTATAATTACTCTCCAAGCTTAACAGAAGAATCATGATGAAATCGATCATAAACGAAAATGACGTGTTCATTATTAATTAATTATAACTAAGGATCGGAAGCTAATGAAGTCTTCTCAGTTATTAAAAAGAGACATCTATAGAACCATGGCTGCCGACATCCTTTAGGAATTTTTGTAATCACTTCTCACCAAGCAAGGCAATAAAGCCCCTAGGACGTAGGGGATTACTGATTGTGAGAGAACATGAGCGACAACGATAAATGAACAAGAATTAAGAAAACAGAAGTTAACGATTGCCTTTAAAGTTTTGAAGTTTAAAGTTGACTGTAAAGGAAGAAGAGATTTTTTGCAAGTGAGAAGTGTCAGAGAAAAACGGTTAGCATAGAACTTACATCTAGTAATTTCAACTGTAAAATGATGAGACCTAGCCGCCAATCTAGTATTGTACTTAAATTCATAAAGTCTAGGTACCAAAGGGCAAAACTCATCAGAGCATGATGAAAGTATTTAGAGAAATGTCATAGGAAAGTACCTGAAACCGAAATGCCAGCTCAGAGCATTTCTTCTTTGTATTAGATCTAAAATCTGTCAATAAATACCAGGAGCATTAGATGGTCTTTAAAAAAGACTGTGAGGCGTCAAGTATTGGGGAGAAGAATAATTAAGTTGTAGTCACCAAAGTCAAAAATCGTTTTCCTATTATGATAACAAATTTTGTTTATTTAAAAACGGGAAAAAGAACAGCTGCCAAATATGTTTACTAAAACGTGTATATCCAAGTATTGAGTGATGGAAAAATATAACACAGATGCTTCAGAAAAACAACATAAATGTAAATGTATATATATATAATATGCATTCATGTGTTGTTTTGTTTTCATTTCGAATTTTGAGTTACGCGCGACTTCTTTGCGTCTTAACTTGTTCGTCTTTATACGAAGCATTACTTTTTTTTCTTTTTTATCTATATCTATAATTCTCAAAATGTGCGTTTGTGTGTATGTATGTGTCTGTGTAATCG